GTGATATATGAAACAATGTTATAGTACGGATAAAAAGGACAAGGCTTGACAAGTCCTGTGGGATGATTTGTGGGTATAAGGTTAGTTCATTGAAGTTACACAGTAGTCGATAACACATCTGCGGACTCATTATATAATTCACGTTAACACATAGGTATATACGTCTACCGGGACTTCGTGGGGTTGGTGAGTACAATGCTTGTCTGCGCCTTGTCGTCACTCAATGAACAGAAATCAGATTAAGTAATGTAAATGATGTAAAGCACGGTCGAGTCGATTTTAAAAGAAATGGGTAGCGTCGGCGCGGTAACGATAAAAGTCGAAATAGCTTTCCACGGTTGACAAACTCGAAGGGGAAAATAATTGCGGCAGCACTCTAGCCGACTGTATTGGGTGGCACGTTTCCATTTTGACCCCTCAATTCTGTGTTGCAGCCAAGCTTCAGGAGGTGGCGGCAAGCGTGATCGGAATTCTTCAAAATATGGAACACCAGGATGAGGTAACTCCGTAGACGGCGATATCTTTCGCTGTACACTCCCAGGGCTTTCAGCCGCCTGTGATATTGGAGGTGGGACAAACGATACACATTTTTCTTTGCTTGTCACTGTGCGGTCTCCAATGCAACCAAGTCACGTTTTGACCAGGTTTGCCAAGCCTGGATCATATACTCTAAATGAGGCCGTACGTACGCATTGAGCATTCGGGGGAAGATGGAGGGATTTAATCTACCGAACGCCCTCCGTAACAGACCAGCACTTCGGTTCGCGGTTTTGGACGCTTTCAAGGATTGCGCCAAACAGCCGAGGTCGTCTTGGATTATCACCTCAAGGTGTCGCTCTTGTGAGGCTGTGTTCAGCATATCGTCTCCAAGCTTATATGCGTACGTGGACTCAAGATATGTGTACGCGGGCTTTTGGAAGAACATGTCTTCTTTAAGGAAGAATTTAAATGCTATATTGATGCAGTTGACTGCGAAAAGGCCAAGATTATTTATGACAATTTCCTTAAGGGGAAATGATGTAGAGAGCGCTAATGGCTTCACAGTTGCTAATAATGTTCCCATCAGGGGGTTAGATGTTAGACATATAACGGTATGGATAATCATGTTGTCTCAAACTACTTTTCCATCCGTAGTTATCATTGGCACCTGCGTAGTTTGCGTTTTTCTTCTTTATACTGTGAACCGTTCTCTTCATTATTTTGCAGAACAGGGATTGAAATATAACAAGTGGGAATTCCGACACCAACAAACTGGACAATCGGCTAACCTAGTGGCATAGTTGCCATTTGCGTAGGCAGTAGTCATGTTTGAACCATAGTTCCGTTCACTGTTTTAATGAGACTTATATTACAACTAGCGTGATAGACGAGGAAATCCAAACATTGAGACTACTCAACAAAAGAATCCTTATCAGCTAGTTGCTTTCTTATAAACCATTTTATTCCTACTGGTCTCTTAGAAAGTGCACAGTTAATTCATGTGTTTTGCCTCATGATCTTATGATGTTTCGGAGTTCAAGAAAACACTAGTCCAGTTATGTTACTTAGCGTTCGACAAGTCACAGTTACGTACACCTACACTTGATCCTACCAAAACAGCCCGTATCAACTCATTCGTGGATATATCAAGGTTATCAATCAGTGCCATGGTTTGGATGATTCGGTGCTTAAATCATAGCCAGAAACTGAGCCGGCCAGACCAAGTTATGCGAAAGTATAAAGCACCTCAACGCATCACCCGAAACAAAAGCACGGATCAATATTTCTTCCTCTTTATGTGTGCACCTAATTTGACAGTTTCTACCAGTTGAGAATCTACAAATCTAGAATCAAACAGATATCACCCGTCTGGTAAATCACTAATTCGCAGATTCATATTTACAGTAATCATCATCCTTGCTCCCTTGAAAGTCAAAGGAATCCTGTACTCTCACTTCGGTACGTAGGCGGCATAAAACGTCAACGCAAAAGTGCCTGGGTAAGGGCGTTTGAAATGGGACAGACTTGCAGTACAAGTATGCAATCTAGATGAGCTATGATCTTTACTTACCTAATGCAACTTATAGCAATGGCTTCTCCTCCCCGTAGTAACATCAGTTTGTCTTCGAAAAGCCTAGGTAATTATGGATGCTTCGTTGTTAAAACAATGTTTGCCTACATGATAATAGGATGATAAGTCTAGGATGGATGGTTCACATAACAGACAATGACATAATGCATATAGTAAGCATTTATAGTAAGCTAAAACACGATGACCTTGTCAACTACATCAAATACTTGGTTTAACCTAATCTAAAATAGCTTAAATTCCTCAATGGGCTTAAGTGTCTGCCTGGTAAGACGGCTACTACCGTGTTACCCTTAGTACAACATACGCGATCATCAAAGTGCTGATAGTAAGACCGGCCATTGGCATTAAAATGGAGCAAAGGGTAGAGGGTAAAAACGGGTAAAATCGGGTAAACGAGTAAAAATCAAATGATTGACATGCTCAATAGAGCGATAGTTTGTGACGGGTATAGACGTAAATGCTTGACAATTCCAGTGGGATGATTAAAGGTAAAATCACAAGGTAAAAACGCAAGTCGATAAACGAACGCGCAAGTTACATGACTGATTCAGACGTTTCCAGTAGCAGAAATGTGCTTACTCCTGTCCAGAGTTCAAGCGGAGTCTGACACAGACAACTATTTATTATGCACTGCAGTCGTTGTACAATGATTAATAGCTAAATCACATGACCGAAATGTGTCGAAGTATCGTCATATTTTCTGCCCCAAACTGAGAAGAAGTAGGTCCATTAAATGGATCACTTCAAAAAGAGAACAGATGTACTTAATTGATAGAAAACTAAGTCAATATTTGGCAGATCAGCAAAAATTGCAGTGTTGGTCCGGGGCGGTTGTCAGTGTGCCGATTAAAACAGAAAGAGCGGAATGAACAAGGCAAAAAGAAAGAACCTTTATAATGCGGAGGAGGGTTAGATTTTGGTGGATGAACAAAAGCAAACAGAACTTGCAAATGGAGATAATGGCGAAAACACGCAGTCCAACTTAAGGTAAGGAGAGGAACCGCCAAGAGACAATGTGAGTTAATACCCGGAACATTACTGACCCCGGCGTACCCTTCGTATTACACAAAATCTCCCCTCATTCGGCATTGTAGGTGTTGAACCGATATCCTATACCATATAGTATTTCTTTGTGAAGTTAGCTGCCGCATCGATTGAAGTTAACGCTCGTGTTCGGCAAGCGCAAACTGTTGGGAACCAGAGAGCACGAGTCTGTATTCAAGTGTGCCAGTGCGTATTATCTGGATATAGAGCAACCATTACTATAAACCCTTTTCACAGCTTACACAAGATAGTTGTGATTGAGTCTAAGTAACATGTAAAGGAGATAATCAGCTCATGTCTCACCAAGGAGCCAGCAGACGTCTGCGTGTGCCAATCCGTTTGAGCATGTCGCAGTTTCCACACACGCTGTGTTCCAAATGTCAACGTGCCTATCTACTCCTGGTTCCAAAAATTATTAAGCGGTTAATTTTAACGCGGTTTATGTGGTCAGTGACGTGGTATTACAAAGAAACTGGTACGGATACCATAAATAAGAATAGCAGAAATACATCTAACAGAACGTGTTAGATCACGCCCATTTTTCCTACATGTCCTCGATCTCTCCATAAATCCCAATGAGTAACAAAGCTATAGTCACTCATAACCCAGTAGGCGCTAAAGAGCTTTTTGAACGAGACTATGGCAAACAAAGAAGCTGTTTTTATTTTGCAAACGCAATTAATGGAGCAGCTGTTGTTACTGATATATTACACATCTACTCTGAGTTTGACTGGCGCTAATCAGATATATTGAAGTCGGTTCTGTACACGCGGAAAATCAAGTGACCAGTTAGCTAGACATAATACACAAATAATGGTAAGGTGGCGGGAAACTTTCTCACATTTGCTAATGAAAAGCAAGCATGTACTGGTTAACAGAAGCGGAGGAGAAATGAAGAATAACTACCTTTTGCGTATACGAACGCACTAGTTCTTCCAATATGTTGCAGATTTACTACGTCCGTGAGCACAACAGTTGGCGGCATAGACTAAACTCTGTTTTGAGCAAAGAGGACGAATCCACTCTGTGTACCGAGTGGATTCAAGGTGCAGCAGTGAATAGTCCCATCAAAACGGTTCAGTCAACTGCTTGGTATTCATATCATCACACCTTTAGCATTTTTCGCACAAGCACGCAAGCTCATCAACCATCTTCATGCTCTGGAAAAAGATATCACGGACTTTCGTAAACGGATTTCAGAACTCTCCGCAGCTACTCAAGCATTGGTTCGTCAGCATAACTGAAGGATGCACTTTTGCAGTCCACTGCCCTGCATCATACTGCGGACGCCCATATATCCTCAATTAATCAAACGGAGCTGAACCATTGCGTTCCCCAAAGCGCCCGGCAAAAGTTGAAATGACTAAAGGTGACAGTCAGGAGTGATGTCGCGACTTCGGAGCGACAGGTATACTACCTCCTTCACTGACCAAGATCGATCCAGCTCATACGGCGGCCGCCCGTGATCCCGACGTGTTCACCCACACCCACAAAGTCGCTCGCATCGGTCGTTCCATTCCAGCCAACTTCACTTACTGCTACCCTTCTTCTTCATCGCATTACCCCACGAAACTTCCGTGCTGTCGTCAGGATGAAAACATCGATGTCGTCCTGATCCCCCTCCGTCGTCATTACTATTGATGTATACCCCGTGTTCATCCTTTCTCGATGTCCCCTATGTGCTACACGTTTCCACCTCTTCCTCCACAGCCGCCTCCAATTTCGACAATTCTCTACGGCTACAGAGAAATACTTCGCACTTCCACGGCCGTCATTCTTCGATCCTTCATTTACAGTTGCCTTGTAAATCTCTGCATGCTTCACTCCAAGACTGGACTGGACCAATATCGGGACAATCCTCATATTATAGAGAGAATATTACAATATGTCCCCAAGGATGTTTTTAGATCAGCTGAATCTCGCCACCTCGTCTCTTGTCCATCAGTTCACTCTCCCTACACGCAAACGCTATTGGAACTTAAAGGATGTTGAGGAACCACTGTCATTCCCTAAAACTTCTCTGCAGAAATCTCCCAAAGTTGCTCAGCTCAGTCCTCCTACTTTATTGCTCATAGAGCGGAAATCCTCTCTGGCTAGTCGAAATTCTTGCAATGGACTCTTCCTCGCTCTCGGCTGCGATGCCTCCTACGCGCTGAATGTGCGCTACCACCTCTTGTACCTACCTCGGAAAAGTTTCATCGCTAGAACTCCCCACTGCACCAGCACCAAGCAGCTTCGCCCTCTTTGATTTTCATCGCGTTGGTGGTCATCAGTCCCCTCTACTCCCTATTTGCGTGATGTGATGCGACTTGTTTGCTTTTCTATCGCTGTCTAGTTCGTTTGTATATGGCCTTGAAGATTTCACATCCCGCATTGCTACACTATCTCTGTCTAGGATGTTCAAGTATGTCATATAGGTTTCCGGCGAGCTCTGCTCGAACGCATCACCACGTCTGGTACGAACTCTCCAATCCCACTTGGCAACCAAGCATCAAGATTTCTGGTTACCAACCGCAACCATGTAGTTTGCCATCTGTTTCTATCTCAGTCTCAATGCAACCTGAATTGGGAGGAACCAGAACTCTGTGTCATGCTTATGCATCTATAACTATATGTTCTTTGCATACACAGATAATAATCGTAATATTTTTGGGAGACTTGATATTCCTCAGATCCTTCCCTAGAGCTGTATGATTTCTTCCTCGGTGATCACGCTGCTCAGGTAACCGTGAATTCTAGCTCTTCAGTAGAGTTTTGCTCTTACCCCTTGCGTTGCTTATCGCCTTTTTCGTATTTTTTCTCTCGTGGCAGCTATCCTTCCAGGTTTTTTAAGTTCCATCCCTGAGCAAACGCACCTGATGGGCTCAGAGCACATTCCCTTTTGGTTGGTTCCCCTCTCATCCGAAGTCCATGTGTTTTCCGTACTAGTCCGAGCCAACCGCCTTTTTCATACTGTTCAATGTTACGTTTTCGTTTTATTTCTTTCGCTTTGTCACATGAGCGTAGGTTGTACCTAATGAGAATGCCAATGTGATCTAGTAGCTCTCTTTGTGATTCCCTTCTATCGATTGATCTTTGGTCGTTTTTTGTCTTTTGAGCAACCCGGGTAACTTATACTGAAGTTAAGCCTTGCAAATAATTGTATTCGTCAGGTGACTTTTGTTTTGCATAACATGTGATTGTCTCTTCCTTTCGTACATTTTTTGTGTGGATCGTCTCCAACGCCCTTCTCTACTCACTTGTCCGGCTCAGATCAGTCTTACTCTCGGGACACGTAAGCGTATGCTTCTTCTGTTGGTCTCTATTAGTCCAAATTTAAACGCGTATTGCAGAAAAGAACAAATGACCGCTCCCGCTTACGGAGCCGCGCACAGGTTTTCTGGAAACATACAAATTTGATCCTTTATTTATACGATACTTATAACTGAATTGAGAAAACACAGTGCGTATTTGGCTTTTCGTACTCTGAGCGTAAGTTGGAATAAAACACGAAAACTAAAAATAATATAGTGACTTAGTAAACAGAACTACAATTGCACAAAGGGCCGAAGATTCGCTCCACTTGTTCAATGGTAATATGCCCTGCCTACATAAGGGAAAAGTTTTAGGTATGTATATATGTAGCATAGCTATTTTGTACTATAAAAAATGCAAGGTAGTAAACTGCAACCCAGTAGACGACAGAGCATTCACCTTTAAAAAACTTTAGCTAATAAGACGATAACTCATTGCGTTAATAGCCCAAGTCACTTTCAAAAAGCTGACCACCTTCAAGAAAGTGAACGTGCTACTTGACTGAAAAGAAATACACAATTCATACAAGCATCGCCTAAGACCGCTTAAAATGAATTGCAATAAAATGTTGGACTCTTATTTCAAAGTAACCTGCACCGTTTTGCGCTGAATGTGCTGGACACTGAATAGAGATACATGTTTCACTGTGCTACTAAGACTGGGTCTGTGATATTTTACGTGAGCGTTAGCAGCAGTGATGTGGAGCTTTTTGAAGTCAAACGGAATCTGCTCGGCAGAATGGGTTCTGTTAATTTTAACCACAAATGTTGAACTTGCTTGCAGGATTTTTGACATTTTTTCAGAATAGCAGTTTGTCAGTTGTCTGGTTAGTGTTTTAACATGCCATTATCCTTAGTTGTTTGAAAAATTACGCAACATTTGTAATTAGACATTCACTGCGACATTATTAAATCTCTTCCAGAGAGCAAATCAGAAAGTGTTCTCATAAATCCACGCTTTACATTTATATGCTTTTGTGATGACCCACGTCGGGTTTCACACAGACTGCATTGTTAGCGGGAACAGCGATTAGTAGCAGTATAATTATTCTGAGGGCAGGAGTCCCCTAACAAATATTCATCGTATCTTCTTATTGTGTTTATCCTCAGCCTTTGTTGTATCCTGCATGCGATGTTTACTAACGCTACGGGCACGATAAACTTTCTGAGTAAGATATAATTTTTTTAGTGTTTTATAAAGGTTGCCACAACAAATAACGAAAACAAATATGTTAAAGACCTATATTAGCTATCAACGACCCATTACTTATTAAATATAAAGTCAAACCACCGAAAAACAATGATTTATACCTGCGTTAAGCACAAAACGTTACTGATATCTACGGTGACACGCAACAGAACCGAACGCACACAGCAAAATACACAACGGAATAAAGAAATAAATAAATAAGTTTATTTCTCGACTGCGCGAGACACGGCCTAGGATGTTGATCCGATCGCACTGTACAAGTGTTAAGTAAATTTGTTGATGAAACAGATAAATGAAAAATGAACGGTCAGACAAACCCTTTAGAAGAACGGTATCAATCACATGTCGATTGGTAATTCGCAAAGGTATTCCAGCGTAGCCTTTTTGTTAATCAAAAGCTTACATCTACTCGGCACGCGGTGTGAATATACCATATCACAGTAGTCAGGAGCAGCTTGCCCTTGGTTGTTTCGTCATGCAGCAGAAGGCAATCCGTACGCCAAGCTGCTGGCGTATTGGAATAGTTCTTCGCAGTACTTGGACGAGAATCGAAGGAAGAGACATGTTGCAAAGTTTGAACGGGGGGTAGGTTACTCTATTTGCAAGCAGAGAAGACTGCCGTGGTTGAGTCATTTTTAAATAATCTAATATATTCTGAAGAAAATATGATGCATATTTATAATAATAATGTGTTCCGCAGCATACAGTAACTAAACGTAGGTAATGGAGGTATGCACGTTAGCAAATAACGTAATCTTCGAGTTGGTCATTCCTTCGAATGTGTCAGGCCTCTATTTCTAAATGTCGCCAATAGGCCTGCCAGTATTTCAGGATCTGTAGCGTAGGCGGTATTCAAACACTAATTACGTGGTACATCTATCACAAACTTGGTACGTGCACATGGGTACCTGGAACAGGGTTAGCAATAGAAAGCATCGCTCTTTGCAAGATGATTAAAAAGGAATAGTGCAATATTTGACAGGTAGAAGAAAATCAGTAGTATGTTGACCTTCTTCCTAGGCATCCATATGATCATGGAGACTTTGAGATAGGCATGGCCGGTTAACCTGAGAATTTAACAGGGGTCAAAGGAGTGAAAACGGGGACTATACTTAACATCTATGGTCGACTTCCATGTGGGCATGAAAGCCGGCGTGGCCGAGTAAGGAAATGATATAACATTGGTCGGATGAATGAAGAAGCGTACTAGGTTTAACACCCTACTTTAGCCACTATGTCGAAACGGTGGCCTCGAGGTTTGTACAGCCGGGTAAGAAAGTCTTTTTTCCCTTTCTTCTTATACCTTCTGTGATTTCAATGAATCTTTTTAGTGTATGACATGGATATGTATGCATGGAAATGCATTATATATGCACAATTTGGTCCTTTCCGATCAATCTCTGTCTCAGAACTATTCAGCTTGAAAAGTTGCATAGCTTTTGAGACTGAGAAATTGATCTAGCTAGCTGCACACGAAACATGTGAAGAGCTGTGCATGATCCAATGGACAGTGGAAAGCGAATTCAAATCAATGCATATCTAATGAGCAAAAGTTTGCACACATGTTGGTGAGTGACTTCACAATCGCAAGTGTGCAATTTTTATTACGGATAAGGGGGGTGGTTTCAGGTGTATGAATGCGACCATGAAATATAACAAACAGCAGCGATATGTTTAGATTTCTTCTACACAGCCATATCCAGATATAGACGACCATATGACTATCGCTCATAATGTTCACAACGTTTTAAAAAATCCCTTGCTGCATTTCAAATCACGCTGTATGACCGAAAACACTCTGATCAATTTCATTAAATACTTTTCCAGTAAGGATATCTATGAAATGCCGTTAAAGTCAAGTGCAGCCTCACTTGAGCAAGTCAGCTGGTATCGACACTGTTAATGCTCTTGAATACTTTAAATGAGTCAGACGCGAATTGCATTTGGGATGGTAGCCAATGGCAACATGTGTACGGGCTATGTACTACAACTGCTTGTGTTTGAACTTGGCTATCCGTCTTTGTATGGCCTGCCACTTCAGTATCAAATTTACACCAAAATTCATGAATTTGTGTGACTAACTGAGATGCGGAACTATCGGATGGGAGTAGCACATTAACGGCCACCAAAATGCATTTAGTCACAGGTGCCTCAGAAGCATGTTTTAGTCATGTTAGAAATCGAGACTATGTTGACTTGCTATGGGGCTGTCTCTGCGTTTAGTAGCAAATTCATAAACACTGCTAAGTTGCTTCGACGGGTTTGTCCACTTCAGCTGAAGGTAACGACAGGTTCACGCTTGTGTTGAGCACCGCATATTCCGCGTAGAAAGTAGTTCTCCCAGTATCAGTCCTCATTATGGCGTCATTACAGTTAAACGGGAATCTAATACGGATCTTATACCTTAGTGCTATTAACACAGTTTATTTCGACTCCTCGTATGCTTTTGGTTCATAAACAAACATTGTGGCCATCTTGATCATCACTACTTCAGATTTAAAGTTACATTATACTTTTATGTGTCACATCAGCCTCCGTCACCTAGAATAGCTGGAGATCAAGGACATCAGGACCATCAACTTGTTTTAAATTGGCTAACCCCGTGAAATTTCTCTTTGACCTGGCTATAATGTTTACCCTTCACCAGTTGAATTATGATGTAATGGTTAGGGGAAAGCCTACCGATATATTTTACAAATATTACACTTCCTGGCTTATACTATAATTCGTTCCTTCTAACGAGCT